ATTTGATTACATTTTGTATGATGGATTATGCAGAAAAGGTAGAATTGGGCTGAAAGAGCTATCACTTCATCACCTATTCAGGTTGTAAATCGTGTTTTTAAAAAGTAACTAAGTAACTAAGTAATTAATTACTTTTGAAAATAAGTAATCAGTAAAGTAACGGGATTACTTTTGGGGGGAAGTAATCAGCAATTAGTTACTGATTACTTTTTTCAAGTAACTTGACCAACACTGCTCACCAAGAATGGCTTATATATTTGGGTTTTTTATGAGCCTGTCACTTCTTCCTCCACGTCTTCACTACACTTGTTAAATACATATACCAAGTTTCTGACTAAAAGCTCGTTGGGAACTACTGTATTGGTGAAAAATACTGTTTTATGCCTTTGAAACTGTGCTAGCTTTGACATTTATCAACTAAATGAGAACAAATTATGCTCCAGGCTGCTAGTAATGAAAATAGTTCTTTGCCAAGTTTTATGTGTAGGCACAGCACTGGTTCACCTTGAGTGTCTTTTCTGCGTTTGAACAATCCATGAGTCAGTGTTAAATGGCTGAATAAAAAACACTCCTATAAAAACGTTCAGGTACAAGAAAATCTGGTTTACAAAGAAATAAAGGGTGGCTCATTACTTTTGCACAGCACTATAGGTAGCGCTGTGGAGCAGTCTTTAGCAGTACTGATGGTGACCGAACAAAGGGAAACAGAGGAAAGTGTTATAATTCCTCCTTAAATTGGGAACATTATAAAATCCTAACGGCAGTTATGACAATCTGAGATATGGCCGCCTTTTCAAGGTTTTGGAATCATGCAATCCACAGCTGCTTTTTTATATTATTATCATTATTATTTTTATTTTTATGAATGCTCTAATTTCCCAGATATCCTGAATGGAGCATTGGCCATGTAGGTATTTGTAATGTCCAGTGGAAGACTGTTGCTAAATGAATGAATCAATAGGGGAATTGAAAATTAATGTTCTAAAAATGCTTCGGACAAGTTCTAAAATGTGTTGCTCACTTTAAGTGCTGAATTGTGTTAGGCTGCAGGAAGACCTGTGACAATGTCTCGAGCACAGTCACATCACTCTCTTTGGAAGCAATATTGTGGATGGCAGAGAAAATAGTTGTTATAGGAGATCTTTAAAAGTCAGGTTGGTCAAATTTGAAAAGGTTCTGACCTGAGTGAAGTGAGATTGGGCAACCGGGGAAGAACAGAACAGAGAAACTCAGCTCCCTCTACACCGAGGCTGTTGTGGGAAAACCTGAATGGGAACAAACATTTTTTTTTTTTACTAATTTATTTCCCTTGAGTACTACAGAGCACATGCCAATGTTAAATACTGAAATGTGACTACTTACTCCAGTTCTGTCAGAAATGGACAACTGAGGATGACGCTCTCTATGGCTGCAAGCTGATACACATTTACTGCACAGTCCACAAGGCTAAAGCAGAGAGATAAGAGGAATTCGTTTTTCCTTTATACTGTCTTTACTTTCAAAGGAATTCAGCCAGAGTGTGGTGTAAATTAATACAATTTACTAGAAAAAAAGAACAACCTTTACAACAGTGGGCTTTTTCTTTTTTCCTGCAAGGAAAGCTAAATATATAGCATATACACTGAGTAATATAGCAGTGCGTGGAGGCTGTAATCAAAGTGTGCATTCCTTGCAGGTATCATGAAAATGTAAAATAGAATGTATAAAATAAAAAAGCACCCAATTTTCTTTATGGCACTCGATTGAGCTGCATTTCCAGAGAGATCACTGCAAACAAACAAGCAAAAGACACAAATCAAAAATAGGAATCATTTGATTTCTAGAAACATTCAATTCAAAATAACTGTTATTTTATATTTACACTTTAATCAATAAACTCCCGAAGAGTACAGCTGCTGTCTATATAACAATCATTAAACAATAATCATTACCTATCTGTCGTCAGTGCAGTGGAACTGGTCAGGTGGAGTGTGTTTTGATGAATCCTGGAAAATGAATATAGTTGACAGCTTTGACACACATACTGTGTCTTTATTTGGGGAATGTTACAATATGTTTGATTTGTTTAAAAGGAGCATTTCCTGATATCTGTGTTCATTTGCATCTATATGCATATCTTACCTGACAGTTTGAATATTGCTATTGAGTTGCAAACAGTGGAGCATTAATCTAACTGCTTTCTCAGCGCTGATCCAACGCTCCTCAATACTGAGTAGAAAAGCACGTGTAATACACTCATTATAATTCAATGCTTTAACAGCCGTTCACTGAACAGCCATGACTGATTTGGATAAGTTGTAGTTTGAAAAAAGCCTGAAAACATTGACAGAAGAGATAATAGTAAAGATTCTTTTGTCTCACCTGAAAACACATCCACTTTGACTGAAGCTCAGCAGCTGTAGGAAATGTTCAGTCTGCTCCAGTAAGCTGTGGTTTAATCTGCAGATGAACCACAGACATATCACTATGTACTTTCTGATCATGGTTAGATAATGGAGGCCAGAAAGGAAGGTTAAACCCTGAATACCCTGAGACTCTTAGCATAAAGAGACTTTTAATAAATAATAGATGCATTTCTAATCAGTTCCTTGCTGTCTTAATGCATGCTCAATCATCCTGGTAAGAAAATCCCAAAAAGGTTCATCTTAGCGTTTTAAGTGGGAGAAACGTTTCGTCACTCATCCAAGTGACTTCTTCAATCTTAGCTGACTGCAGGTTTTTCCAACCTTATAAACAGTACATTTGCACAATATCTGAAACTAGCACCACTGAATGAGCAATGGGCTGTGAGGTCAGTGACTTGATCATTAATCAGGCAATTTCTTGCTGGTAGTTTCAAATCTAAAATGTTAACAAAGAAATATGGCCTTGTTGTGATCTTTCCATATTTTACAAGAAGTCGGTTTATGAACCAGTTTTATTAAGTGTAATAACTAATTAAAAAGAGGCCATTGTTTTTATCTGATGAAACCCAAAAATTTGTCTTAAGATTGAGGGATACTTACTCCACTTTGGCCAGATGGGGACAACTGGACACAATCTCTGCTAATCGGATCAGATGTTCATGCTTCAAACTACCTTCCCTGATTCTGATGGAGAAATAAAGCAGAGAAGGCAAAAAAAAAGCATAAAGAAATTTAGATTTTTGCAAAGTTAGTGCCAAATCCACAATGTACTAAAATCTTTAAAAGGCCTTAACCTCTACTAAGCCCCCAAATTACATTGTAATAGTATTATATACTGGACGTTTATTGAGAGCTGGAGGACGCTGAACTCTTGTTACTGTGAGTGCTAGAGTTAAGGAAGGTACTTTCAGAGCTGCTAAAATCGATCAGACACCAGAAACTAATTATGTCTTCGAATATTCACAACCACATTCTATGGTTCACTGCTATGCTCAGCTCTACTTCTGACATGCAAAGTCAGTTCCTTGTCGCCCACAGTGTGCAAGCTGGATTTAGAAGTTTTCAGCCGTTCATCTTTGCTGATGCAGTCAGTCAGTTTACCGACTCAGTGCATGAACCTTCAGATGTAGAGAGAGTTCACATATCTGTGCATACCGGTGAGATGTTTCCTGTGCTGCTCACGCAGGAAAAATTACAAAGCCAAAGGAGAGAGAGTCTGTTTTTTTTTCACAATGACACTTTGTTACTTTGAATACATCAGCTGTTGACTTATACAATCAGACCACATGTAAGTTTCCTTTTGTTCTTTTCTGTCTGCACACTAGTGCTGCATGGAGCTCTGCACGTCTGCATTAGTTCACGCCTCCTCTCAACATTTTAACACTCTTCAAATTTCCTGTCTACGTTGTGCTTTAGCACTAAACTTTAGTGCTAAAGTTTCATGAGTGTTAATGAGTTCATCAGCTCATTTTTTTTTTTTTACTTTATCTGAAATGAAAATGTTTAAAATTTTTACTGGTTTCTTTTTTGCTGTATACAGCAAAAAACCAGTAGGTGTGAATTCTGTGTTTTTACTCGAGTCACTGTGCTCACCTCATCAAAGTGACTCAGTGGTAATACGGGCACCATTTCAGGATCAGAGTCAGTGTTTTGAAATTTTGGCTGGAACTCCTACCTCAGAGTTTTTTCCCGAGTTTCATTTTGTCTGAACCAGATGAGGCATCGCTCTTCTTCTCCTAAGCTACCAGCAGACATCAGAAAGTAGAGTCCATGGACAAAGAGAGAGACATGGACAAATATTTCATTATAGATTACTTAGAAGAATTCCATTAACTTCTTTCCTTTGTGCAGACTTACCTCACTTCCACACCAGAGACATTAGCACAGGTACACAATGTGCTGGCCACAGCCAGCAGCCCCTGCTGGGTCAGTCTGTTGTTACTGAGACTGCACATGAAGATTCATTAAAGAAAAGAATTAGTCTATATTTTACTCATTAACTACAATACACATCATTTCTAAATATTGTAGCTTCATACTCTCAGTCTACCTGAGGTTTAATTTATTATACATTCAGCAGACAATATATTAGGTACACCTAGCCATGTTCAGAATCACTTAAATCACCTTTTTTATTAACCCATTCAGATGTTCACTTTGAACTGCATTAGGGCATCTTCACCTTATATACATGCTTAACTACATGTTGCTGTCATGTCACTGACTGATTAGATATTTGTGTCAACAAGCATTTAAACAGGTTAACTAATAAAGTCAGTGGTGCGTGTACATTTAAGTATTTTTTACTCTTCTGCTCTATATTTAATATAGAACTTAATGTGTTTAAAGTCTTACTTGACATAGGTGCTGATTTTTAGCCTTGGTAGGGAATGCACAAAAGAGCTCACGTCTTCATCTTCCAGCTGGTTACTTGACAAACTGTGATGAAAGAAAAGCAGAGCTGAGCATCCTTACTGGATAAAAGCTCAGGAAGAAAACACTGGACTATCCATGGCTCCATGGGTGTGTGGTTATGATTCTAAGATTGTGTGTCTAAATGTTTGTGTGGCTCATACTCAAGATCTGAAAGCTGGGGACCCTGCTGCAGGATCTCAAGAAGTTTCTTCAAGTGGTCACCCTTCAGGCAAAAATGAGTTAACCTGTGTTACACACAATCAGGGAGACAAAAAGAAAACATAGCACATGAAGTTGATTAATTACTAGTTATAGTAATTATTGTAAGATGCCCTCTTTTACCTGAACTTTCTAATTCTGCGGTGATTAAAATGGCAGATTGTAAAATACAGGACACCCAATGTGCTTCACACTATATAATATTGTCTTTTTCAATGAGTACCATAAAATCTTTAATTAAACTGCGCATTTCTACAGTTCTATGTATAAAACAGAAAATGACAACATATATTTTCAGTCAAATTCTAAAATAAACACAGCTTGAAATGCAGTTTAAAATGAGCAGCTAAAACTGCTATAGTGTATGAGCTGTGAATACTTGGGTAAGTGACAAAGTGAGCGGTCTGAAAACACCTACAAATGTTGTTAAGTCATCAGTAAGCAGTGAAAATGTTGCGGATCACAGACCTGCAGCTCACTTGTTCCACTTTCACTGTATCAAAATTGATGAAGGAGTCACCCTGAGGGCTAAAGAAGAGATCAAAGCAGCAATTAACCAAAACAGGTCAGTTAGAGAATTAAAGTAATTGCAGCTACAACTAAAAAGTGTGGTAGGGAAAGGAGCATCACATGAACACTCAAATATGGCATGGTGTGTTGTGATGAGTGCCACAAAAGTATTCACTGTACCTGAGCTCAACCGACGTCACTCGCTGACTGTGATTCGAACAGCTGACCAGCTCGAGTGCATCGGTTGCAGATGTGATGCTCTGTCTGACACTATTAGGAATACAGAATGAATATAGTATATTTCATTTGATGAGGTTCTTAGTATCTTACACAGTCTGAAAATAATTTCCAAACATAGTTCATAGAATAGCCACAATTTGCTTTGCCAGATTTAGCCATACAGGCTAAACTTCATCTGTAGTCTCTGGTAGGTTGATAGCTAGTTAATGAATAATAAAGACACCAAATGCACAAAGGCAAAATATGTAAGTGACAGAAGCATATATATGGTAAAAGAAAAACATACTGATATTATGTATTAAACATCAAAGTTTTTAATTTATAAATATCTGCAAATCAATTTTTTTGTTCTTAAAGTCATTAAATTTTAAATACTTCAGTATAAAAATAAAGACAAAAATGAATCAATATAAATAATTCATCTATAGACTGAATAAAAAGGACCAAGAATTACACCTAAAGGCATTTCAAAGTTATTGTTAACTATTTGCAGGGTTTAATTATACATTTGCATTGATGTTGTTGATGTTTTTTATCTGTAAGAGGATTTTCTCCAGTTAACTACAAGATAATTACATAATGTCACAAACTATATATAATAAAATTAAATGAATATGTCTAGAGAAAAATTATACACTTCTAATATCACACTTCCAATTAGAGTCGACAGCATGAAGTGAAATTACAACAGAATTTCTGCAAATCTCCTTGCAGTGTAGATGAGATTGCAACGTTCTGCAATCTCCTATAACAATAGTGATCTTCCATAATTTTTTTGTTTTATGGACCTAACATATACCCTGTGATAGGAATAGCATAGATACCCATTAGTTAAAAATAACTACACTTAAAATCACCTTCCAAATATTCAAATTTTGTGCTCAGTAATCTCAGTAGGGTGTCCTTTAAAAAGTACTCAGCAGCTTTTTTCCATATCTTCACATCTTTTCCCTACTGCACATCCGCATAATCTGACTGTCTATTGCAGGTTGTAATCCAGTGTTATTATTAATACTTGCATTAGTGTGTATGCCTTACTTGAGTCTCTGCAGTGACGTCATCTCTGGCAACACTTTGAGAAGATTCTTGATGGCTTTGTCGGTAAGTGAACACTGAGATAACCTGACAGAACACATTAGTGCATGAACATGAACGTGTTCAGTCACTACTTTAAATACTGTTGGATAATTTGCAGATATACAATAATAAAGCTTACTCTAACTCCCAATGGAAGCGACTCTGGACCAATTTTCTACATACTTTGGTTATATCAGATGGTAGGATGCTGCTGTCCTTTACTCTAGAAAGAAAAATAAAAGGGGATCATTCTTTTGTATTCATAGTCAGAGGTCAGATTTGTACTTTTCTGCATGTCTTTATTTGCTCACTGTACCGGAACATCTTCAGCTGCTGCTTGTCATCACTGACATAGAAATACAGTAGAGAGTTAGATTATTAAACAGAAAAACTAAACGGAGACAACAAGAATCAGACTGTGTGAACGTTTGCATAGATGCAGGTCTTCTACCTTTCATCTGGGCAGAACTTTAGACTGACTTCCTCTTTGCCTCCGCCACTGTAAAACCAACAGAGCACAACAGCCAATTATAATTAACCTGACTGATTACTGTAAAGCTATATGACCAGTGTTGGGCAAGTTACTTTGAAAAAGTAATTAGTTATAGTTACTAGTTACTTCTTCAACAAAGTAACCGAGTTAGTAACTGAGTCACAATATTATAAAAGTAACTAATTACGAGGAAAAGTAACAATTGCGTTACTTTAAAAAAATGTTTAAATATGTATAAGAATCCCCTCTTAATGGAAATACAAACATATAAATAGCTAAACATACTTGAAAATACTAAAATATATATTCAGCTGTTTGTTATAAAACTGAAAATATAATTGAAATAAATGGGCAGTTAACAGAAGGAACTAATAAGAAACATTGTACACTAATCTAAACTATTCAAATGTTACTTTATGAAAAT